AATTTGAATATTTTTCAAAATTTGGGCCCTTATATGCAATTATTTTCACTTTGGGCCCTTATTTGTAATTATTTTCACTTTGGGCCCTTATTTGTAATTATATTCATTTTTCGGCCCCCCTTATATGTAAATTCCCCTTAATTTATTTAGATTTAATAAAGAAGATTAAATTTGAATTAGCAATTTTGCATTTTAAATGCAATGCATTTTTAAGATCTTTATAATTAAAATACTTTTTAATAAATATGATAGTTTAATAAAAGAATTTTCTTTTCGTATAAATGTTTATTTGTTCAATTTTCACAGTAAATTGAAACGGTTGACCATTTTCAATCACTGTCTCTTGAAAAGAAACTGCATTTTGTGCAATGTGAAATGATTCAGAAAAATAAATGTTTTCTTATTCTTATGTTTAAAATAAGAAAACCCAAAAGAATTTCGTTCTCAAAGATGGCGTTTTGTTTCATAATCTATAGTAAGTAAATTTCTAAAATTCCTATGCCGAAGAACAAGTTACTGGTAAACATTTACTTCTGCACTGAGTTGAAAGGTTTAGACCACTTAGCTATGTAAACTAACTAAAAAATCATTAACGTTGACACTTAGGTCTACAATTGAGAAGCAGGTTATAGTAAGGATAGTAAAAAAAAACAGTTTTATTATATGTGTCGATTATTCAAATTTCATAGTAAAAATTTTATTCACCTGATCTGCGTGATATCTTGGTCGACTGGTAATATATCCTGTAACTGTATATTCAGCTCAATTTTATCCTAAAGAGCGTTAACGTCGCGAAAAATATCACGGTAGCCTTAAAATAAAACTCAATATAGATTAATAAAAAATATTGCTACTCTGTAGTCTACACAGAACAAGTACAGTGATTAGCAGGTACAACAGACATTCCGACCGTAAGGCAGACAGCATTCCATTGTCCACCGTAGTTGTAAGGGTTTCCACTCTCAATAGCGGACATTCCGACCGTAAGGTCTCCGTAGCTATAAGATCACCCTCTGCTAATCACATATATGGGAACAATTATAGAAAAATTATACATTCCTTCATTTTCCGTTCCAAAATTCATATTATTGAGATCCATTTCAATTTGTGGGATTCCCTTTGAAAAGAGAAGGTAAAATCTTTGCTTCAAGCGATATTCATAACAACCCAAAAAACGATAGTCTTTAGATTGTGTTTTGTCAATAACTAATACCCTTAAATATCGTCGTTGAAATGATTTACATGTTGATTTGACCAATTTAAAAAAGTAAGCCTGTCTTCATCTGCAAGAATACCAATTCTGGAAAAAAGAGCATGGGCGTTGGGGTACCGGTACTACGTATCAAACCTATATGTAGTCCCATACCGGTAATTAAAACAATATTGTTACACGAATGAATATCATTTTACACGTAGGCCAGGGGCCACGGAAAAATTTGGATATCAAATCGTAGATCTTTATTTCGATATCAGCAAATATTTGGAAAAATTTGGATAAAAATTTTAAATCGCAAAAAAAATTTTTCTATTAGAATTTATTATTTGCGTTGATTGAAGTACAACATATTTAACATTTTTAACGAATTTTTGCTTAAACTTTGTCTATCATCTTTTAAAGATTGTTGTAAACAGAAAAACTTCTCTCAACTGCACAAAAAGAAATAGGTAACCAAATATAAACCAAGGCAATATTGCTTAAAATCAGAAGAGAAGACATTTTTTCCCAAAATTCACCTAAATTACTAAATTCAACTAATGTCAAATCTATATTACAGTAAAGATCCCATTCATATAATAAAGCATCTGAAGTATTATTTAATTTAGGAATTTGTGTCAAATAATTCTGAATATTACAATTATTAGTTGTCAACTTAATAAAACAAGGATCAAAAATTTGTACTGCAACAAAAAGGGGGTGAAATGGATGGCAAAAAAAATGATTATTAAATTTTTTGTGTGCTGTAGCAAAAGCTGCTTGAAACATGCTAATAAAAAAATATGGCTCTGATTCAAGATTTTCAATATATGAATTTATCTCATTTCCAAAATTTGTATTAAATTCACCATGATTAATAAAGTCCTCAAGTTGCTAAATACGATTTTCAACAAATAGAATTACAGGGTCATTTTCCTGTTGAAAAAAATTAAAATCTGAAATAAACTTTCCAGCATAGTGGGGAATAAATGTCAAATAAATTTGTATTTATACACTTTCTTCAAAGTTATTAAAAGTGTTTATGATTTTTTCAATAGTTTCTGATGATTTGACTTTTTGTTCCTCCTTATAAAACCCTTGAATAAATTCAAGGTAATCACAAATGTAAAATGCAATTTGGAACTAAGTATTTCAGCAAGTTACAACAGGTAATAGCACAAACTTCAAAGGCAGATTCAATTGTTGATTTAATCCATACTGCGCCAAATAATTCATATAGCAAGACCAATGAACCTTTGAATGTGTAAATGTTTTTTTAATAAGTGATATTAAAAGTTTAACCTCATCAAAATGGTAAACTGATATCCATAATTCACTAAAAAAATTATATAAAGTTAATTATTAAAATTATAAACCATACTATAAATATTAATTTTATTATAAATTAATTTACCTAATTAGATTCATTATATAAGCAGGGTACGTATTGTGCATTAACTGAGGCATTACAGGGCTTAAAGCATCTTTGAAACATTTTTTCATGTAGGAAGCCAAATCTGAGATGATTACTTTTGGGTAGATAAAAAGAATATCTTACTCTGTTAGAAGCCATAAGATAAGTCCACTCATTGTTAAATAGTTTACTGATTGTAAAAAGTTAACTAATACAAGTTTTGTAATCTCATAATAAGAGAATAGTGTATTAACTACACTATGCTCTTTAGCATCTGTCATTTCATCAACTATAATAGCTACTGGGCTTTCTTTAAACATATATTGTAGACTTTCTAAATGTTCTTCAAAAATCTTTGATAAATATGAACAACATAAAGTTTTGACCATAGGCATAGTGCTATCTTCATTACAATATGCACCTAGAAACTCCTAAAATTTATTAAGTTTTTCCAGTAGTATATCCACTTCGACCTATGCTTTAACAAGATCACAAATAAAGTTTTTTTTTTATCAATGATGATGAAAGACATTGTTGCCAGGAAGAATTTAAAGATTTCAGATAAGTATCTCACTTTTTTTGATAGACACAATAGCATTCTGGGGGTTTTGAGACAGTTAGACTTAGTATATATCAGAAACGTATTTTGGAGATTTCTAAATACCAGAAACTATATCAAGTTTTAGTTAAATTTAAAACATATTAGGAATGCTTTCTGGTGTCTTCTAAAGGCCAAGAACTATATTGATTTTTGGTTAGATTCATTTAAGTCTGTCCTTATTATCTCATAAATAAATCTAACAATTTATAATCATATCAGGAATCTATTCTGAGGCTCTCAAAAGCTCTTAAAATCATATTGATTTTTTAGTCATATTTATTAATGATTTTAGATTCGTTAGATTTATTTATGAATATCTCTAACTATTCAAGAATTCCTTCTAGAGGGATTTAAACGTTAATTAACATATCAAGTATCATGTGACTTGTTTAATCTAATGAAATTACTTATAAACAAGAATACCTTCTACAAGCTCTAGCTCATTAAATAGTATAATTATTAGAAAAGTCTAACAAGAATTTTGTCTCAACTTTTCCTTCTGCCCTGCCAGAAAAATTATATATCACAAAAACAATTCTGGCAATCTCTAGCTCATAAAAATAATCTAATAAATCTAGTAAAAAAATATAAGCAATATACATATTACATCACCTGCTATACCCTTGGTATATTCTAGAATTAAAGCTTTAGCTCACAATCTATCATGGTACTGGGTAACATAGTATCCTCTGATATGTGCTGGGCATCATCTACAAGCAGAGGCTGTAGGCTTTCTGCAATCAGAGCATGGTACTCGTTTTTTAGCCTTCCAATAGAATCAGCAACCTTCTAGCCGAGTAGAAGGCCTATTGCAAGCCTTTCTGGTATTGCAGAGATATGGACATGAATATTCGCCAATTATTTTACTTTTTTATTACTAGATTCGAAAAGATTAATAGTAATTAGTTAATGCTTCAGTTTTGCAATGCTTTTTTCCTTTCAGTTATAAATTCAAGAAAAGATTAATAGTTATCTTATATAGTGTTAACTAAAAATATCTGGCTTCAAGAAGGCGGGATCGAAAAGTGATATATACTCCATATATATAATAATTAATTAATTAAAGAAAAAAATTTATAAGTAAGTAAAAGCACGATGGTTAGAGATAACTCCATGGTTAAAAAAACAAGAAGCGATAAAAAAAATACAATCTGTAAACGTTGTGGCCATGAATGCTCAACACCTTAAAAACTTTATGAGCATCTTAAGCAAAAAAATCCATCCAAACCATTACAAGATCAAAAGAATATAGTTTCTATTCAAGTACTAATTAAAGAGCCTATTCAAGAGAATATCCAAGAACCTGTTCAAGTAGCTATTCAAGAACCCATTCAAAAGGTTGTTAAAACCACAAATAAAGATACTTTATTTAAAAATCCTGATATCGAATGGAATTATCAAAATATGAAAAGAAAATTGGGTATTTTTAAAAACTTGCAACAGGAATTATGCTGTAATCTTGAGGAATTTGATAGAAAGCACTTCTATATAGAAATGAAAAAGGAGGGTAATAGATCTAATACAGAAATATGTCCATCTAAATGGAGTATGTTTCTATTTGAAGCAATCAGCTATTTGCAACGAGATTTTGATAGAAAAAGAGGAGGTTATATAGATAAGAAAGAGGTTATAGCTGAAATTCATAAAGAAATATTTCCAGAAAGTGATACTAAACCTTTTTTTCAAAATCAAACTTCTCAGATTATCATTCAAAAGAGTAATAAAAAGAATAGAGACTATATTACCCAGGAAGAGGCAGACAAGTGGATTAACCCAAATGCTCGAAAGCCTGGTGAGCATTTTAGAACATGGGGGGCATGATTGCAAAAAAAATGAAAAGAACTTGGTCTAGGTGAATGTCTTAAAACAAAAAACTTGGATGACTGTTTGACCCTCTGTCATGATCTTGAACAATACAATTTAGAAGTAGTTAGACTACTAACAAAAGAGGAATTAGAAGATAGACCAAAGGCTGGTCCAGGACCTAGAACGCAAGCATTTAGAAATAATAACAAATATAAGAATTTAATTAATGAAGTATTTAGGTGCTTAGGAGAGATAAATAAAGGGCAAGAAAGACTGAAAAATGATTTAGAATTTAGAAAGCAAGAAATAGGTACAGCAGTTAAAAGAAGAGCCATAGCTGTATATTGTGCAAAAGTTCCTAAATCTTATCCAGATAATGGAAGCGATATACGAAAAATGTTAGAAAGCCAAAGAAAGCAGTTTAGAGAAATACTTGAAAAGGAATTTGATAAGCGTAGACAATTTAAGTTTGCTCTTTGTTCTCTTACCAAATTTCTTATTGATGATAAACCCGGGAATAATAATGCAGAAAAAAAGAATTCATGGACTAACTAGCTTAGAAATAAGCAAATTATAGTCTATAATAGAGCTGAAATAGATGATTACTTAAGCAATGCCTTCAAAGAAATCCTATACCAAGTAGAGGAGAGAGGAGGTAAGACTAATGCTTGAGAATATATTGAGGGGGTAATTGTGCATCCTTCACGATTTGTAGCTCTTCTCTCACAAATGAGCATCTAGAACCATTAAAAAGTTTATAGAGAACAGGTTGATTTTCTTTTATCAAATAAGAATTAATTGTAAAGACTTCAGAAGACCAATTACAATCAGTTACTCTTCTTCATCACCTTCTAATTCACCAGGTTCTAAAAGGTGTCGAACTTCTGTATAACTAGATAAAAGAGGTTCATTATAACCAACTGGTCTCCTGTGCTTTACTGAAGTTCTAGCTATTATTTTTTTTCCTTTTAATGCTTGTTTTACAGCTTCATTAGGAGACATACTTATCAATCGGGTAAGAGTATTATTATAAATATTGTCATTTATACGAAGACCCTTAAACCATGATCTAGATCTATCAGTTAAAGGTAAATAAAAATCTTCTGCATCTTGCTAAAAATAAGCATGCTTTTCAAATTCTTGATGGTCACGTTCAGCAATAGCTACACCATGTTTAGAGTTAGCATATTGAATTTTTACACTATGGCTAAGTAATAAATCTCTACACTCACCCAAAAATTCTGTATCTCTATCCATGATTAAACCATTTGGCCAATAAGAGGGCAATTTGGGTTATCATAAATTTTTTGAAATGCTTTAGCCACTTGTGCAGAAGATTTATTGGTTAAAGCAAAACTACGACGAAACCTAGTAGCTACATCTTTTATTACAAGCCTATGCTTATAAATTTGATTATCTACTTTATCATGAGGCATGGGAGTAGTATCAGATTAATGCATATTATTTAGATCTTGTATATCATTAAAAGAAACATACTGAATAAACTTTGGTCAAGGCTTGTGAATTTGATACAAAGCTTGCCTGTTTAGCCAAGTTTTAATCTCAATAAGAGAAAATCTATATTTGGCTTTCTTACAAGCATTCCATATTTTTTCAGCAGTTTGATAATAGCCCTCAGGTTGGTAATAGAGCTTCTGCAAAGTAAGATTCTGATCAAGATCACGTGCTCTCCGGGGATCAATATAAATAAACGGTTCTCCTATTTCAATTCTCTTTTATATATTTAGCGATTTCTGGATCATATAAATTATAGTAAATAAAAAATATGGTAGAATTACAACAAAGTAATCAAGAACTCCATGAGGTAGTATTCCAATTAGCAGAATCAAATAGGAATTTCGAACAACGATTATATACCTTAGAAAGAATTATTGGTATACGGGAAGAAAGAATAAGATTTCTTGAAGAAGAGTTAAATAACACAATCGAAATTTCTACAGAAGAGAAAGAGGAGTTAAAAAAAGAAATCTCAAAACTAAAAAGAATTGTTCACCAACTCGAGAAAGAAAATAAAAAGAAAGACAAAGAAATTTCAAATAAGGACAAGTTAATATTAGAATTCGATGAACGTGAAACAAAATTAAAAACCCGAATACGAGAAATATTAAAATCAGCTGGAAATACCCCCAAAGCACAAGATTATACAACCAGATTAGTGGATGAGAATAAACGGCTTAAATGAGAAATAAATACGGTAAGAACTAATCAAATAAATAGGATTAACAAATTAACCTAACAAAAAAACCGCATCACAGATCTGCTTTGTCAAAATTTTGCATTAACATTATTGAGATATAGAGATAGGTTAGAGCTTATAAAAACAAGAGAAGCTTTACAAAACACACAGGCATGGAATTTAAATGAAAATGAAACTGCTTTTGATAAAAATTCTCTAGACTTGTATAATCCTAATATTAACTTAGAAATGGCCACAATCAGAGAGTTAGCAAATGCTATAGATAGTTTTGTAAATAATATAACAACAGATAGGTATATTTTGATAAATCAAATAAAAGGAGCAACTGCTCAAATTCATATAAAAAATAATAATTTACATCGAGATTTGAGAGAAGTAAGACGAGCTCGTAATCGATTGCAACAGGATTTAATTCATGAGCAACAGAGGCAATATACTGCAGAGGTTGAGTGTGATAATGAAATAATAAAAAAGCAAGAGTTGCGAACTAATGCTCAAAATCAAGTAAACAGAATAATAGACTATATAGCAAGAAAGCAAACCTGTATCGGCGAATTGCTATGTGAAAATTTTGCCTTAAAAATCTTGTATCGACAAAGTGCTCACTACCTACAGCAATATAGAGGAGATAAGGGTTTATTAGAGTATAATCGAGATAGGCTCTATGAGCGATATAAGAAATGGAAAAATAAGACTCATACAGAGCACCAGAATAATTTAATTTTAAATCAACAAATTTTTGCACTACAGAATAACCCACCTAATATACAATGAATAAGAATGGCAGGAATACCACAACCATTTTTTGACTGGGGTGAAGATATACCAGATTTTCTTGCAAAACTTAGATTATACTTGCAAACCCAAAGTGTAGATCCAGCAGACAATGTGGGAGGTCCACTAATAGGAAGAGAAGTAGCTATAGGATATTTAAGAGGATGTATGAAAGAAAAAGCTTTAAAATGGTTTGATAAAGAGATTACTACAAAACAGAATTGGGAATTAGCAAACTTACTTGATAATACAGGGCAGGCCAACTTAGTAGCTGTAAACAGGAGAACAGTACTTCAAATAGAAAATCAAGCATTGAATGAGGCACTCGGCCAACCTGGTAATGCAATAGTCAAATTAAGAGCTGTAGAGGGTCCTTGGAATAAAGATTGGCATATAGCAGATGGTCATCTTACTAACATTGCTGTTAATGTACCAAATGCTAATAATGGTACTACAGTAGTTGTAGCTGGTATTCATTTCGGTCAAGCCATATAGTGGCTAAAAACACATTTTCCTATAGTGGAAGAGGAGCTTCGGGATTTGCAATATGGAACAATTAGAAAAGGAAATATAACTATAGATGAATTATATAGAAAATTGTTATGAATAGGTAGACGAGCTAACTATAGGCCCGAAGAATTACGTAATAAGTTCTTGAATACCCTTCCTATTTCATGGCTTGAAAAAGCTAAGGATATCGGTGAGCATTTGCCATTAGATGAATTGGCTAAAAAGCTATATGAAATAGAGTTATGCCAAATAGCTAGACATAAAAGAGATAAAATACCCGATCTATTAGTATCTTGGCAAATATATGAACCTTCATCCGTTCCGGCTTCTCAACAGAAGGAATGGCAAATTTACAAAAAATATTTCAGGATGCATTTGCACAGCAAAAAAGTGAAAACTAGTTATTAGAAAAGAAACTTACCAAATTACAATCACAAATGGCCCAGCAATCAGTTGTTCAAAAAGTACAGGCACCGGCTTCACAAACTGTCAAACCAGTTAGACAGCCAAGAGGGCCCCCATCTTCACTAAATACAGAAGAAGGCATAAAAGAATATTACATAACAAAATTCTTAAAAGATATAGGTATCTTCAGCCAAAAAGAATTAGACTCAGATTATTCTATAAAGCCTTTTCAAAGATCTCGTCCACAGCGAAGCAATGTATCTACTAAGATTGATAGATTGGAAGAATGGATTAATGAAACTCAAGATACTGTAAACCAGTTAGCTGATCAATTTCAGAGAAAGGCATATATACAAAAATGTGATATTTGCGAAGAGACGGCCATAGCAAAGGTAGTTGTTCTAATAGACAGATAGCACGATCTAATTTCAATTGGTCTACTTATTTTAAGCTGCTTACACCTATAAATTTCTAAAACACACCTCCAGGTTCGGATAATGAAGAAGATGGTCATGATTAAGAAAATAATAGATAGACCGGGTATGATTCACCAGTAAAAAAAAAACAGATACTAACAGAATCCAGTCAGCCCGAAACGTATGATAAGCTGTTGCCAAAACTTTCACCGGAAATAGGTAAAATGTGTTTGTCTTGAAAGGCTCAGGAAAAGGAATCAGATGAATGGTTTTCTTCTCTACAATATCTGAATGTAAATATAAATGATTTAGCGATTTCTGAATCTTTTTTGGATCTGAGAAGTGAATTTGGTGATATAAATGACCCGGCAATTAAGACGCTTGGATGGAAGACTGATAAGCTATCGGATTTTGCTATAAAGGGCAATTCTAGGCATATCACTGATTCATTAGGATGGTACACAGATGTGCCAGTTACTATGAAGGACAAAGAGGGTGAGACAGTTACAGTCATTGGAAATTTTGTATATATAG